AGGTCCGCGAGGGCTTCGGGCTTGCGGAGCGTGGCAACGGCGATGTCTCCGCTGTGGAGGACGTGCTCGGTCATGCAGCGTCCTAGGCCGGACGACGTGCCTGTGACTGCGTACAGATGTTAGACCATTCAACGATTGGAAGTGACAAGTACAGGCACTCACGGAACCATACTTTGGGAGACATCAGTACAGATGAGAGTATACGTGCTTTTCGGCACCAAGAGACCCTCAATGGCAAGACATGCGCGACATTTAGGCCCTTATATATGCCTCACCCCTTTCTGCTTATTTTACAGCTATTATGCCGTATATGCGCAGCATCGAAGTCTCTGCGGCCCGTATATGCACATCAAGTGTTGCGAGGCAGCCCGGCACTGCGGGATATGTGATCTGCGGACTGTAAATGTACACCCTCTCAACCGCCACCATCATCAACATCAACCACTGTAGTCTGTACAGTCAGTATCCGGCTTCGGGATATGTGATCTGCGAACTGTGGATGTACTCCATCCACCACAACGGCGGGCGCTGTAGTCTGTACAGTCAGTATCCGACTTCGGGACTCGTGATCGACGTGACGAAGCGCGCGCCAGTGGCTGACTTGGGCCCACTTGTCGGTCCTTGGAAATCATGCAAAAGGACACTCTAAGACAACAGGTAGGCAGTAGAGTCTGGTCGATGAGAAAAGAATTGACATGGGACGTGAACAGGTTCGAATACGAATGAACTCTTACCCTCGCGCGAAGACTTTGATCGACTGGAAGCACAGCAAGTGAAAAAGGGTACGTCAACTCGATTAGAGACATCGACTGAGCTGACACGTTCACGAGGACCTTTAGAGCCAACGAAAAGTGATATCATATGACGTACAAATGAAGAGTACCTCACATCGTTCGACTTGTACGAGACCTCCGCTCTCTGTCCACTCGAGAATTCCGGTACAAAACAGCCGACTTGACGTTGGGATGGATGGGCAATTGCCACAGCATAGGTGATTTTACCTGGCCACTAAAAAGACTCGGGTGAGATCAGGATCTTGTCTTCGTGATACGAGGCTATTTAAGCTCTACAGCCTATCTGGAGAAGGATGAATGGCAGCCGATGATATAAGATGGCACGAAACTGTTCATACCATTGCGCACCACCACTTAGCCGAAGCCAAATCCCCGATGGAAATTGGCGGGCTAATGCGTCTTGCTCTCCATATTTGGGCTTAACGATATGGACCGCCCCAAACTCATCCGCTGCTTTCCCTGAAGCGTCCTCGGAGACCTGTTATCATGAAGTTTTTTCTCCGCTTTTCCGTCCCAGGGATTGATTCAAAAACCAGAGCAAGACTTGTCTAAGTTTTATGATCTTGGATCAAGAATGCCAAGCCACATACAAATGGGGCGAACGAGCGGGCGTCCAACAGTCCAAGCGTTTGCCAGACTGGAACCGGGTGCGGCAGCATTGCCGCGGCAGCCCCAGCCAATCAATACACTGATCTCTAGCACTGAAGCTGTACCACTTGATGCGGTACATCACACAGCACTCAGGAGAGGGTATGCTCTACCTGGCAAGTAGCATGCGTACTAGGTGAGGATATTTATAGACTATATCAACTTGCATTTGATGAGGAGCCACAGGTTTCACGCTCAGATCACAGTTTTTAGTCTGCGAGGACAGGTCTTAGGTGGCACTGTGGCAGTGTGTGCGACAGGACGCAATTGAACATGGTGAAATGGGTGTCATTGGAGCCCACTCGTGGACTACAGGTTGACGGACTGCCCACGTGCGCAACGACGACCAAGCTGGATCCAATTGATGGTCTGTCATACGGCGAGGTATCCATGCTGCAGGTGCAGCCTTGAGAGCTGTAAGCAAGTCGTGACAAGTACAATGAAGATTAGCAAGACGGACACGGTCTATGCAACCTTGACAACGAGGGAGGAGACGAAGTGAAAGGCCTGTCGATGGCGACGGGACGAAGGACGCTCCATGATAGCCACGGCGTTTGTCGCTCCACAATGGCGCGGACAATTGGAACAGTGCGTAGCCAGTCTTCTCTGCCCAGCAAGCCATGCACGTCTTGGCACCCTTGATTGGTCGTCGCATACCTGCTGCACGCCGTTATGCTCTGGCCTCGCTGGCGCCTCCTGGACGTGGCGACGGTCTCTGCGATCCAAAGCTTCTACCGTATCTGATACGAGACTGCGTGACCTCTGTGCGTGGACGTCACCAGCCCGAGATGGATGTCGAGCGCACCGGTCGCAACCTGCCAACGAAGGTGAGCCTGCGGCACCGCGCTCTGATGTCCGTCAAATCATTTGTCGCCGAAGAATAATCTATTTTTGTTGTATTGCCTAGGGACCGATCCACAGGTCAAGATCTCGTCACCATTGCGGTGAGCCTAAATGGCCCAGTATGGAAGCTCAAGGCGCCTCCGATCTGTTTCGCGGACCGCCCCGCCCGCTAGTTAAAAAGCGGCCGCGCTGGTCCCCCGCCTGGTCTTCTTATCCGTGTTGTGCTAGGCTGAGCCTCCCTGCAGAGTTTTTTTGTCTCTGTCTTTTCGCCAGCTGGCTTGGTTTTTTTCGTTTTCTTATTCCATTCGTCTATTTCGTTTTCACCGGCTCACTCTTTCAGCATGTATTCACTTTTCTCGAGGGCTGTCAAGGCGGCCACTTTCAGCCAGGCCACCCTTGTCCTCGACGTTGACGTCGCCCTGTTTTTTGTCGCTTGTCTGTTCATCTTGCTTGCGCTGCCCAGAGCAGTTGCCCGTTACTCCACCCTGTCTGCCTGGACAGAGGGCTCCTTCTTCCGCTCAGTGAAGATCCGCAACCCCGTCGCCTTCCGTCCGTACCAACTCGACCCCAAGATTACCCCCATGGACTCGCAGGACACACTGAACGATACCGTTGAAATAGATCTCGAGAAGGGTGTAGCAGCCTCGGATGACTCACACTCCGATACAATGGTTGAGTTTCCCTCGCAGAAGGCCAATATGCAGGCCCGCACGGGACGACCCCCGATATACATGCCTGCGTGGTCGACGATGTTCCCTGGGGTCGCTTACATTTTCTCCATCCACATTCGCCCGGGATATTCCTTGGGCATGTGCCTGTTATTCCTTGCATATCTCGCGGGGATGCTTTATGCGAGCTTGTACAAAGCCGATCTGTTCACCACCCCGTCGCGCCTCGGGTATGTAGCTGTCAGCCAGTTCCCCTTGATATACATCCTGGCCACAAAGAATAACATCGTTGGTGGATTGATTGGAATGGGCTATGAGAAGGTGCGTCGTGTTGACCTGACCAACGGAGATATGTTTATTCATGCGTTTGTCCTTAGCTCAATGTGTTCCACCGCTTTGCTGGCCGGTTCGCCATCCTCGCTGTGAATTTGCACGCATTGGCATACTGTGCGTACCAGTCTTCTGTGTTTTTACGACTGAAATATGAACTACGTTTACATGAATATTTCAGTTGCCAAGTGGGCCCAAACCAGCACGATTGCGTCCCATATGGATCAATCCAACATCTGGGGCTGCGTTGCCCTCGGTGGCATGGATGTACTCTTCCTGGTCTCGCTTACTCCGCTTCGTCAGGCGTATTATCAGCTATTTTACGTGTTGCACGTCGCCGGAGCCGTCGTGGCACTTGTCGCGGTACGTCCACCTCTCTGTGTTCATCGCGCCCAGCGCTCATGTATCGTATGCTGTCCCTGTAACGCCTGTGTACCGCCCTGTCACATGTCGCTGTCTGCCTGTCCCTTTGGATTGCGTAATCCCGTGCGTTCCCTGGAGACAGGTCGTATACCACGAGCCTGCGGCAATTCCGTACGTGATTCTTGCGTCCGTGGCGTACGGCGTCGACCGCGTCGTGCGTTTAGTGCAGACACGCATCACGACGGCGCACGTGCGTGCGCTCCCCGAGCTCGGGACGACGCGCCTCGAGATCCCAACAGTCAACGCAGGCTGGCGCGCGGGCCAGCACGTCCGTATCAAGGTGCTCAGCATGGGTATGGGCCCGCTCGGCTGCTTGGAGGGTCACCCCTTCACCATCGCGAGCGTCAGCAAGGTGCGTCGCATCATTTTCTGTCTTGATTTGAATGGTTTTGTGATGTACGTTCGCTTGCAGAGCCGCGGCGAGGAAGGCCTTGTGCTGATGATCAAGAAAGCGGGTGATTGGACGACGCGTCTCTTTGAACTCGCCCAGAAGGACACCCCTGAGGAAGGCGGCGCAGGACGTAAGGTGAAGGTGCTCATCCAAGGACCGTACGGTATGTTTTTCCCCCCGCCCAGTCCGTTTTGTCGCCACGCCCATTGGCTATATCCGTCGTGCTCTCTTCTTGGCGCACAGTAAGCGTCTCGTGATGTTACACGGATGTCCTCTCGGTGATTAACACCCTGTGTGGTGCAGACTGTCGTCGACGTGTGGCTAATCTGTGCGGCGACGAGGGCTCATATGACCGCTTTTCTCTGGATGGCTCTGACGTATTTTTTTTTGTTGCAATGGTGATACAGGTGGACCTGGGCATGCCGTCCTCACCAGCTTCTCTGGTGCAATGCTCATTGCCGGTGGTAGCGGCATCACCTATCCGCTCTCGACCCTGCAGGAAATGATCCAGAAGGGGGCCGAGGGTGCGAGCCGCGTGCGTGTCGTAGAGCTCGTCTGGAGCATCACCGATCCCGGTACGTTATTGCGTACTCCATCCTAGATCCTCCTGTTTATACGTCTACGCCCTCAGCTGCACTCGGACCAATGATGCCGCAATTCCGCGCACTCCTGGCTGAGGCTCCCGCATGCGGCATCGATTTGCGCATTTCGGTGTCATACACGCGCGCGATCCGCTCGCAAGACGTACTGAAGCCGTTTGAACGTCTTCCTCCCGGGCTTACTCTCTCACCCGGTCGTCCCCGCCTTGCGAAGCTGCTCGAGGGCGTCGTGGACCGCACCAGCACAGGTAGCAACGGCGCTTCCTCAACTGGTGTCGTCGTCGGTGTTTGTGGACCTTTAGCGCTTGGCGCGGAGGCGAGCAAGGCCGTCAGACAAATCGAATCTGCCAAGAAGAGGGAGGTTGGTGGGGTGGAGTTGCACGAGGAGTACGCTATTCTCTCTCATTCTCTGCAGTATGATACTGACTACGCTCGCGCCTAGGATCTTCGGCTGGTGAAAGCTTACAGTCCCAAGGCCCCTCAGATTTAGATTCTCCTGATAGAGCTGTTCCGTGCTACTTGATGTGGTATTTTTTCTCCTACGCATGTCTCCGTGCTTTCGTTTCTTTTCCCGCTCTTTGCTTTCTCAGTCTTTTGCACACACGGTCATTCAATCCCGCTTTCGTCGCCCCTCCTGTATTGCAATTGTGTCTCTGCTCGGAATCGCTGTTCAATACAACACGGCTCGCTCCGGCGAGCCGTTTCTCCCATCATTGTCTGCCGCCATTGGACAGATTGCCGTGGCAGTGTGTACAGTACGTCGTTGTTGCCGTCTGCTCCTATCTGATAAGCTCGTTTCCTCGTGATGTGGACGCTGAGCCGCGATGTATCCATTGCCATGGATAGTGTTGCCGGCCCATGGACTTTCAATTCAATCATAACGTTATTCGTCGTTACGCCGCGTCCACTTATCTGATAACGCGTACCGCCATGGACCGAGTCGAACCTCGCGTGCGCAAAATGTTCCGCGCATCCTCGAAGCCCGAAGTTGAATTTGACGGGTACCTGGTTGTTATGCAAGTCACACTACACATCGGAGGTGTGTTCTCACCCCTTCGAAGATCCGCGGCGGAGGTACTCTCGCGTTATGTGATTGGCCAGCCATTGACATGGGTCCACAGCGTTTTTGTCCACCTTGCTGGTTTTGGACTGACTCTCGCACAGGAATAACAAGAAACTTGCACACGCAACATGCGGTAGGCCATATTGTGCGTGGAGGGACCCCACGCAGCCGCTGATAGCATGTGTCGCGGTATGGTTTTTGAGGCCAACAAGGGTGTTCTGCTTTCTTCACCCGTTGGGCAGAAAAGTTGAAGAGCGCAGAAACAGCAATGGTGATGATCCTCCAGAGTAGCGACCTGCGCACACGGATCAAGATGGCCGCTATAAGTGTTCATCATCACGATTTTTTGCATGTACAGTGGCACCGGCCATCCCAGCACATAACACCGTATACGTCGCGATGTGGTTCTGGTCTTGGTGGAAATTGATGGTGGCGAGGTCGACGGACCTGCACCGGAGGAGCACCGGGTAACAATGCGTGAACAAAATGGGACTTACCTCCGGTCGCTCACCAGGCGTACAAGACATCACGGTGTACAACTAACCGCTGTCCCTGGGGCAAAACGCCGATACACATTGACATCGCAACACGGTGAGCGGGGACGTCGCACCACCCCAGTAGTAACGCAACTCCGTGCTATCGCCTGGCCTAGGGTCTTAGGCTGTAGAGGCATCATGAATCGCAGGTTTTGATCCTCTCAATCAGGTATAGCTTCGTATTATTCGCGAGCATGACTCATGTCCATACAATTGTGGTTGCCTTGAACAGCGTATATTGCCATCTCATACAGGGTGCGCCTTTATTATGTTACCCACTCTGTATTCACCGATGATTCATGCACCGCCAGAGATGATTCCACATCTATTTACAAGGCCTATGGGTAATGAGAATGACACTCTCAGGCGATGAGGTACTGACGAGACAAGCGTTTCCGGGAGTTCCTTAGAGGTATTATCTAGCCCTATGTAGAAGTTGATTTACTTAGGAATGAGCGCAAGTTAATAAGGACGTCGGATTTGACGATCGAGCGAGCTCCTGCTCGACTTCATGCCTGCATATTCGAGGTGAGACTCCATCGGGGTCAATAGCATGAGCGAGCCACTGCACATACCTAATGCATACCCGTCACCAAGTCAAACGATATGCGTCCTAGTGGCAATCTATGCCCTAGCCTGAGCGCATCATTGTGTTATACATGGCGAAGAATCAACCTAAACGTATACCTTGCGCGTACTTCCTAAGTGGTGTAGTCATGGTGAAGACTCATGAATAGTGAAATCGGAGCTGCATAAAATACATTTATCATCCTATATTGCGATCGATGTTAACCGGCCCTAGTCAGCCAATCTTGTCTACAGTCTACAGTCTAAGTCTTGTGTAATCGATCCTGATCCCTCTCGGAGTATTTATATAAATGAATCCACAGTGACAACAGCGGCCAAGCCTCCTATCACAATTTTGAGAGATATGCGGCCGCTGCTTGGGGTCCTAGATACCCGGTGTAAAGCTGACGAAGCACACTGAGCCATCCAGGACTGGATCGGTAATGGTATCAGGATTTGACTAATCGACATAATACAGTACACTTACCAGTGACTCGAACGTTGTCATGATTCGCTCGTGATTGAGAGCTAGAGATGCTCTTTTCGCTCTCCTGCTGCCGCTTCCTTACTACCTGTTCCAGCAGCTCAACATCCCAAACTTTCCATATTGTTGTACGAGTAACCTGCGCTCCTCGAAAGGCTGAACCATGGAGGCGCGCACCTAGTCCTGACCCTTCTAAGTTCGACCTGCTGAAATCGGAGAGACGGAAGACGGATATATGAGAGAAGGGATCGTTGACCGCTGCCTTCACACCAAAATAATGACCGGGCCCCGAGTATGGATCGTGAAAGGAGGAATCTAAATCGATTAAGAATATTTCCTCTGACGCCTTCATAAACATGATAAGTAGAGGTAATTTGCAAGTGGGATTTTTCACCTACGCTCTGCACCAGCAATCGCCGTTGTTGCTCCTCCCAAACAAGGTCTCTAAGCCATTCACCCAAATAAATTCGTCGAGCAATTTCATCAAAGGAGATGGCACCTCGCTCCACCCGTGCAAAATCTGCAATCAGATAGAGCAGCCCGGACACGGTCACCGCAGCAAAGTGCCGGCCATCTGGAGAGAACCGTGCTGAAGATGATAGTGTTTTAGGTATGAACAGTAGGGGAATATATCGGCGGACATACCAGCAACAAAACACGGCTGTACACGCATCCGGCTCATCGGAATCAGGGCCTGACTATTCGCAGATCGCGGATCGTTGGACGGAGGCACGACCTCAAACAGTTCCATCGCATCCATACCAGCAACACAGGATGCAATGCTTCCATTCGGTAATCTGGCAGAGCGCGCATCGCCCGTGCGACGCGAATTGGAAACTTTTCGCAGCTGCAAGGCCGCTTCTTGCAGCGAGCTGGGGGGCTCGATCTCCGACAGCACTAACATGCGTGCTTCGTTGTCAGCTTCCTCCGCCAACAGTTCTACTGACGCGCGCCATGGCACGACGACCACCGCCGCGTGCATGCCGACGCACAAGTACTTTTCCGTCACGTCTATATCCATCACAACTCTCTCCTGCGCGGCTGGAAACCGGAAACCAGGTGGTGCGCCCACTACCGTGCCCGTTCCGATCGATATCTTCTGCAGTAGCGCACCCGTCTGCACGTCGAATAACCATACGGTACCCCAGTCTTGATTGGCAATCACCGCCAGTAGAGGGAACTTCAGGCGCATCATGTGGATGGTGGCCAAATTCGGACTCCCCAGGTACGCGTGGGGCGTAAACCGTCCACGCAATTGCCCAGGAGCGGCAAGCGGCACTCTCTTTGCGCAGGCATCAGCCTCTAGGAACTGGAAATCGAGCACCGCTGCAGGGGAAGGTTCGCGAATTGGTGTTGAAGCCACATTGCTATTCAGAAGGTGTCCTCTGACAAGCTCAACATCTGCAGAGCGTCGCCAAACTTCAAGGCCCCGGTAGGTGCTCGGGAAAACCAGGAATCCCTGCGAGTATTCCATTCTTCTCCGTGCAATATATTTCTATGGACCAGATGAGGACAGCGACAAGAGGGTAGAATGGGCTCGACACTTACTTCGCTGAATTGCCACAAGACATTCGAGAAGTCTTCCATGGCGCGGACAGCCAGTCGGCCTGCGTTAGAGATAGTCAATATCGTCTTTTGCTCTTCATCGACTCGAAAATGCAGAGTGCCCTCTTCGTCCGTGAATCCGCCCTCCATGACTGATCCGCGTCCGTCCCAATTTCGCTCCAGAATCGTCCATCGTCTGCCTTGCTTGCCTACCATGTTAGACACAAGCGTAGCCACGCAAGAAATACGCACAGAATTCTTTCCAAGTTGTCACATCATCAAGCCACTTCTCCCTACTCGACGTAGACAGTAAAGTGTCCGAAAGAGATATACTCGGAGGGGCAAATTGGTGCAGGATGGCAGCTTGATGATATACCGTTTGATGATTGTCTTCAATGAGACCATGCGCCTGGTGGGACGTGCGCAGGAGTGAGGCCAAATCACGGATAGACAGAAATGACAGAATGTAGAGGGAGATGTCGCTGGGAAGTGTCAGAAGCATGATGTTATCCTGCGCAGATTCGGCTCGAGACGATTTAATGGTAATCGGATGGTGCAAATGTGAGGCAGCCTGCGAATGGCCGCTGCCAATGTCGAAATATCAGCATCAGTTATGACTGTGATGACATTAATTGTGAGGGGCCGATAGAAAGACGCCGTCGTGCGCATTATTTAGTTAGTAACTTATGTTTATTGGAGTTTGTAGCCATGTTGGATCAAAGAGTGAGAGAAAACCGTGACGGACTGCAGGATTCCTTGAGACCTGCACAGTGTTGCAAAACGCTTTTGGTAGCCGATACTGCTTTCAGGTCGACCACTCCACTTTAAATCAGGCACCCGACTGCCACTCATTGACTTTTACTGCTCACTTCAAATTTACTCGATTCTTCAAATGCACCGACTCGGATAGCAGTGGCCAAGCACTCGTCGGCTTCAGGCTTCAAGCTTCAAGTCTTCAGCCGCATCACACACTTCAACATAGTTGAATCATGGCAGCCTCGCTCGGTCCCAAATCACAAGACACTAATGCCGAAATCCACCTACCTTGTAAGTTCTCTCCTCAGAGCGAATACGAATATCCGTTTCTATGTTTTACATTGATTTGGACGTAGTAGGATTGGGTCCTTGACTGGTCTTCTTGCCATTTTGTCATGGGCGTTCCTGTCAGCTCACGCTGCTCTTCCTGCTCCGGTGTTCTGTGACTTTGTATGATATCAAAGCGCCATGAATATTGTATCTCGGACGAGATCGTTCCTGTCTTTTATGTCTGGGCGAAAGGGCGAACGAGAAATATTACCTCAGAGTGTAGTTGAGGTGCGTGGTATAGCAACCTGTTCACTAAATGGTATTTGACAACAGACGTTTCCTGACATTAGCCGACACGATGTTTTACAAAGAAGTCAGGCGATGTAAGGTTGTGCCAGCGAATGGAGGCATGTTATCGCCACTCGACTTGCTCAATTTTGTTGATTCAATGTGAATAGGATGGGATCCCTAAGTTGGCCGTGAACGACGACCCCAGAGAAATATACCTTGAGCTACAGGGCTTAGGAGACTTTGTGAGTCCCTTGAGACAACAAATTTCGTTGTCTAAAACGCAGCGTGCTGTAGACGTTCAGCAATATTGGCGCATTCTCTTTATTTCCCCCCAGCACACCATGTATCCCTGCGTCTCCTACTCTAGTTAGCAATCCATCCATTCCGGCGTATTCTATGCGTATGGTACCGACTTCCATTTCATCTTGCGACCACAACTCAAGCGTCTCTGATGCGGATGGCAAGACGGAAACTCGCTCGCTGAATAGGACTCACTTTAGCGCGATCAAGGCTCTCGGAGCAGGTGGACAAGGCGTAGTCCTTCTTGTTCAGGACGAATTCACGGGCTCTCAACATGCGTTGAAAGTCATCAGAAAGGCTCGTCTACGGCCTGTGTCTCTTGCTAGAATATACGAAGAGCAGTACATTTTGCGGCACCTTGCTCTTGCAGATGATACATGGTTCACACGTCTGGAGGGCTCATTTCATGATAGTGAGAGCTTCTTCCTGCTTACGGTCCGTCACCACATACTCTCTTCAAGTCTATAACTGACCCTAGTTGGTCTGAACAGGAGTATGCCCCCCGAGGCGACCTCTTCACCGAGATTTCGCGGTACAAGATATTTCCGCAACATCGAGCTTTGCAGTACAGCGCCGAGATCGTATGTCAATCTATGGCCTGCAAAACCCTACCATGTGTCTAACACTTATAATCAGATCCATATCCTCTCCGTTCTGCACGATACGCACCACATCGTTCACCGTGACATCAAGCCCGAGAACTTTCTGATCGACAACCGCGGACACCTTATTTTGACCGACTTCGGAATTTCCAGGCTCTTTCGCTTTGGTCAGCAATCGCGTCCCTGGGATTCTGGTCATGATATAGGATACCAAGGCGAGAGGGATTTCGCAGAATCAAAACATTCTTTCAGAGGACATCAAGAAACGGCCCATGTTCAGCGCGATGTAGAACGTCCTTTGGGCATGGGCCTTCCCGAGATGACACGGACGATGTGTGGAACTCCAGGTTTCATGGCACCGGAGCTGTTCACGGGCACACTGTATTCGTACCAGGTAGATGTGTGGGCGGCGGGAGTAACAATTTATAAGATGGTTCTGGGGAAGGTGCGAGTCTTTTTGCACGTTCTCTTGCTTGATGCCTAGTATGAATTTTGTTCTTGCAATCAGCTGCCTTTCCAGATACACCGCCGCTTGAGCACGAAGGAAGCGTACCATCGGTCAATCACACTTCCTTTGGAATTCCAAGCAGACGATCGCCCAGTTCATGACGAGATTAAGGAGCTCTTAAGAAAGGTTCGGTTAAATTTTGGATTGTTCGTTGATTGCGCTGTTCTCCTTACGTTCGCGTGAACATTACAGATGCTTGAAAAAGTACCTTCCGAGAGACCCCCAGCTCAAGAGCTAAAGGCCGATCCATATTTTAGCTCGATGTCAGTCGCCCTATCGTGATCAGTGTCGTCTGACCTTTCTAAACTTATCTTTCGGATCCGGGTAAGTAGCGATTGGGAGTTGGTGAAAAGCAAGGACCGTGCGGGTCCCGGGATAGACGCTCGTGAGCGTAAGTATCAAGGAAAAGACGTACGTCAAACGTATCGTGGATTTCTCCGTCTTACTTCTGCTTACCATGTACAGAGGTTAGAAATGATTCCTTTCGGCCAGGCCATTTCTGCGCAAGAAGATCCGTCGCCCTGGTTTACTTGGACATCTCCCTCATTAACGTCCTGGCTCGATGACAGGAAGCGGGGCGGAGAGCCTTCACCTATAATCGGCTTGCGCACCGTGAAACAGCCCTCGGGCATGACACACAGGCTGCGAACGTGGTGTAGTATGAGGAAACTAGACGTCTCGCCATAGTTCTGCTGCCACCACCACTCGAAATTGACCACCGCAGTATTATAGACAGTTCTGTATGGCTTTGTTCCGACCCTTACAATCAATAACCCAGAGTATGGCCTCGTTCCCACTTCGACGCGTCTGGGGACGAGACTAGCTCCCTGCGCAAGCCAGCGAAGCCGAGCCATTTCCCGTTGGGGATGTACATACTGTAACTTAGCAGAATGGTTTGAAGCTACCCCAATTAACAGGCCTGCAGTACTATCATGCGGGGCCCGTCGATGACCGCGGTCCGCGGTCTTAACCTGAACATGCCAGCCGCCAGCCGTGATGGGCTATTGGTTCCGGGGTTCCTGGCGGAGTCCAGCCTGAGTGTTATCGCATGTTTGCCCCTCAAGTTGCAACGCTCAGTAGCTTGCTGTCTGTGGATCTTGCTCTGGTGGAAGAATGCGCTATGCGAGCTCTCAAATCCTTACTACTTATTCCTGACCCACAATGTCAACATGTCTCGAAATCCCCAAAGTTTGGCCGGTCGTGCTATCCTAGATCTATGATAAATTCGCACTCGCGGTCCCGCAGCTCATTGGGGTTCGACTCGGAGACTCCGAGCTTCAAATTTCAAACCCTGGAGAACTGTATGCGCGCATCAAATTTGTTGCATCACTGAACCGCATCCCTTCATTCTAAGTACATGGCGCTCTACCTTTTTACGTGCTTGCGGCTTGTACGGCATCAAGATAATGGTCCGGCAGCGTAGGACGACCGATGAAACGATAGTGGACTTGGGCACGTATATGTCGGTTCGCCGCTAGGTACGCTCTTTCGAGCTACTTTTGGTATCATGTCGGTGTCGGGTGCGCTTCGGGCGGTAGATGCGCCGCAATCCACTCATGGCTGCGTTTCATGACCGGGGACCATGGCTGATTCGTTCGTAACTTTAGCCGGGATCCAACAATAGGCATCCTCTAGGATCATGGGGCGTGCGTGGCTCTGCGTGGCCAATGACCATCGCCTGCGTATGTAAGTATGTCGCCGAGCCTTGCTTCAGATATCACTGTGCCTGATTTCTCGTCCTTTCATTGTTTCCGATACAACGCACCAGCATACTCATGGCTTCATGCGTGCCACCGGCTTTCTTGTACTCACCGCCCATTGGCTTAACCAAGCGGACTCGCCGAATGACCACCGTAGTCCAGACATCTGTTTCCCACATGCCGGTGCGTAAGAGCTCTAGAGTCTATACCGCATCTTGCACCATTTCGGCGCGAGCATCCCGGACCCAGTCTCGGATTAAGGCATCGTGCGAAGTGAGCGCATATGCCGACCGTCTCCTAACCGCCGCTCGTCGATAATTCTGGTCTGAACACGAGACCAGACACTCCAGACGTTCGGCAGCTCTGATCAACTATGTCCAAATGATGTCTTCGTAGAGTGAAGATGCACGGCGCGTACACTCAAGTTCAATCTTATGATCTTGGAGTGGGAATGTTAATTCTTCCATCAAGGACGAGGTTCGATTGCACTGCTCATGCTACGCCTACTTCCAGTCATCTCGTCATTACATCTGCCTCCGTTACTTCCCTTTATGATCCAGAGGAGCCATCGATCAAGTGGGTGTGCTGACGGTACTAGACTATGCTGAGTGCAAAGATATTCTGGGATGTATACTCATCTATCATCGGAGCGACGGGTTTTCATATTGCTGGGGACGCACTCGAGGGCATGCTCTTCAACGTCCAGAACCAATCCTGGACTGCCAGACCTCCTATCTCGTTCAGCGTTCAACCCTCACCTGACTGGTCTGGGAGCCTAATGGAGTTATCGAACTTGTGGTCTTACGTCTCACTTTTATCGGTCGATGGTCATATTATCTTTGCTGCATCCGAACACAGAGGCCACGGAGACAACCTTGTCTGTGACCCTGAATAAATGATACGGAAGTGTAAGGGTACGCTGTGGATGTGATGTGTCTATGAGTGAAATGCTAAAAATTGTGCGACAGGAGTCGTATTGAACATTATTGGCAGCTAAACTTTGGGCTGCTGCCGTCGAGATCGCACGGGACGCCTTAGGACGTACCGTGCTGTGCAAGCTTTGGGACATCCCGCCGCAGTTGCCGTACAAGCATGGAACTCGCATGGAACGGGCAACAGATGCTGATTCTGGGCTCGATGGTGTGGCGTTCTCCATGGCTGTTGACAGCCTCAGACGCCTAAGGGTTTCGAACAGCAGTACGGGATGACGGTCTACTGTGACAGAATATGCTTACCAGGAAGAGATAGTGAAACCGAGGCTCTGTGCCCCTGGTGCTCTGTAGTTGTCTCCAGTGCTCGGTACTGCTCGGACTTGGTGTCCGTCTCGTCCGCTGTGTCATAAGGTGGCAGTTCTGGCATGCGCAGCCCCGCGATGGCCCTCCACCCGTTGCTAGCAACGCCGGTCAATATTCGCAGTTCCCTCGTAAAATCATCTCGTACATACCGCTCAGAAGATTTGTAAGTTCTCATCCTCAATGCCATCCCACAGCCCAAATCTTTCTGCGCTTTGAACGCGTTATTATGAAATCGGCGGCGGCCACACCCCACAGTTCTAATACACGCGCGCTCGTAATTAAGTTAAGGAAGGCAGGTCTCCTGATGCGGCAGTGCATATGCCCTAACCAAACTTCTCTGCAGCACTGCATCAGCTGATTCAAACTTCAAAGACTTCTGTTCCATGGACCGAGAGCTTCCGCCACTGCATTATTGTCCAGACTGCAGTGCAAAGCGCTGCCGCAGATTCTGGCATTGCTTCACATAGCCCATCGACCCTGAATCCTGGAATGCCGTCGGCCCGGAAGCCTTACGCAGACCTCGACTGGCTCGGAGTCCTTGACCGATCTGATGATCAACAGGGGATCTGGGCGCGTCGGAGACATTTGAATGGATCAATGCTGGGAGATATCATGCTTCTTAGAACCACACATATCTCTCCGTCAGGTTCTTCCTCGCACGATATGTATTGCTTGGGAGCTATCAAACGTTTCAAGGAAGCTACTTGGCTTAAATTCGAACAAATGCAAAGAATGCGAAGATCAACTCTCCGAGCGGACGCAGGGGCATCCGATGATGCTGTTCCGTGTCTGGGCCGGGAGTTGATCGGCCGTGCTGCCGCCCGGTGTCCCCGCTCAGATCAACCCCAGTCTGAGTCGGCAAGTCCAATCGCTGCCCATTTAATTTACTCAAACTCGTACTTAATACAGGACGCCGATGAGAGGATATGCTTTGGTAAGCCCTGTCGGGATGCTGCTACTGATGTTGCCCTTGCTGAAACAGGAAAAAAGACAATACCTCCTCACCTCCGCTGCGGCTGCAGAATCAGCCGAGGGTGAAACCACAGATCAAGGATTGGCCCCAATCTAACCCAATCCTAGCCCTGGGGCTGCTTACGTGCACTGCGATCAGTGACGGCATGCCCGGAAGCCTATCTATCATACAAAAGGACATCTCCCCCTCCACCAACCCGAGGGGATAGGCCGGGAAGATGAACACGTCTTTTCCCTCTCCTGAGGCTCTGCCAAATCCTTACACCCCTCTGGTATGGCTGTCCCCTAGAGTCGCTGATGACTATCAAGCGAGTCTGTACTTGTATGTTGCTGTATTTTCGGTAAGCATGATTCATCTAGGCCCATTTCATACCTAGGTAACGTTGACCCCCCCGATCTCGACGATAGGCGTTCACGTGGGATTGGATGACATCCTGGTCGAAGGAGTACAGGCTCATATTCAAGGAGAAATTCCGCCTCACGACTTTGACGTATTGTTTATCCCGGTATGAGAACTGCACTCTGCACGAGAATACTAATTCATGACCCCTCATAGGCTAGGCGCATTTGTATACCTGTTATTATATGTCATCCTCGGACGTAAGGGTTGCATTTGGTCTCCCGCGCAAACAACTTTGCTGACCATTGACTATCAGTTGTCACCGTGGATGATTGCCAGAAACTGCAAGTCGCCTCCGGCTGCTTCTTTATTGTCGCGGTCACCTTCACGGCGGCCCTCTTCCTCTTCCGCATTTATGCGGTCTTCGAACGTTCCAAGCCCGTCATCGCATTCTTCGGCTTCCTCTGGTTCGCAAATGTTTGCGCCTCATTTGTGATCCCCTTCGCAATGCAGAGCAGTCACGTAGGCGAGAGTCGCAGATGCATCACGACGGGCGTGGAGATGTACAGTTCTTCGGTGATTATTATCTGCACAGTCAACGACACACTCGTGTTCCTTGGAATCTCGTCGCAACTCCTGTCCGCATCGTTCCCGGAGGAGAGTTGGAGCAAACGTCTGCGGTCGTTTGCCAGCGGGCGAGGTCTACCGAGGTTGTCGCGCTCGCTCCTGCAAAGTGGACAGCTGTTCTACTTGTGAGTGCATCATCGAGTTGCGTTATCATCCGCGTGCACGACTCACCCGGTTTTAGTGTCACTGTCGGCATCAACATCATCACGATGGCCACACTCTTATCGACAAATCTCCCGCCCTCGCTTGCCGCCATGTTCACGCCACCGAATATCGCCCTCGAGAACGCCATGGCCACACGGGTATTCCGTGAGGTCAAGTTCGGCGCAATCACTGAACACCCTATGTCCCTGCACAGCTCTGAAGGCTCCGCCGGATACCGTGGGGCAGCCATGTCCCCTCGTATACCTGCACGCGCATACTTGATGGGCTCAAGGGGTAGCCGTGTGGAAGATCTCTACTCGTTGGAGGCACGTGCTTACGGCCCTGAATCCACGGCCGACGACAGCATTGTCACTATTGGGATTGATCAGAAACGCGTGGCGAGTTTCTCCGACTCATTCTCGGACTCCAAGCAGGAGAAAGCGGGCGACGTGCTAGCAATAGCGTGATAGGACGATCGTTCGAACGATCCATGAATTGTGAAGTGAAGGATAGGACGAGGTCAGCAATCTGGTTGGAGGTGTAACAGACATTTTTGCTACTGCAGTCCTGTCAGACGAAAGGCTACGATTTATTTTATCAATTGGTCTTGTTGTTTGTGTCAGTATAGTATGAGGTCTCTGTCCTTTAGTATATATACCTAACTTATATACACTACCATACCGTACCTTTGTACATTCCCCACGGTTATGGTATTACATATACCCCCCTCCAACCCTCACTATCGTTCAATCTATTTCTCACTTACTCCTTAACGTGGCAATTGTGCAGACTTTTTGAAACTCTTCACGACATTGCGATGGGATTGCAAGCCATTGATGAAATTTGCATGTAATAGGTAAGACTACCTAGTCCCCAACATGGTGTTCTACGAGACTGGGGAGTTCAAGTAGGTAGGCACATCGGAGAGGTTGAGCTTATATCGCGACATGGCTCAGCGTTGAGGGAAACGGAGGCCAGCTTATCAGGACAATCGAGTGCGGGCCGTAAGTGCGGCGTCATCTCAACACGGTGCGAACCTCGTGTGAACGCATGTTCAGACATGTCGGGAACTAAAATAACAATCGCGACTCCGAACCTCATTGTCGTCATATCGGCGCAGCTCAACACCACCGAACAGATTTACCTGAACAGACAGTAGAGCTCCCGGCTTGCTATCAGCAGAACCGATATCGGCACGACCGGAAATCGCGATTTACGACCATCTAAGTCAGGTGACTCAGGTCCCACTTCGAAATTGGTGTCGGAACAACGCTCCGAGTCTTATGGCCGTGTCACGAGTGCATGGTTTCGAACATATGCATTCTAGCAAAACTAATCAAATGACTCTGGTATAAATGGAGGTATCTAGGGCAATGTGTCGAACATAGAACCGAGCAGAAATGATATGATGACGGATAATTTAGCACGAGCATCCTGCCTCAGATCAACCGAAGATCTCGTGCCCGAAGTGCACGCCTACCACAGGAGGCGCAGAGATAAAGGGAAAGTGACGGAGCATAAAATGACACGGAACCGCTAGGTGCAGAAGGAATGGGCGGACCTAGGCCACATAAGCCTCCGCAAGCGACGTGAGGCTGCCGTCGCTGTTGACCAAGTTTCCAACTTCGTCCATAAACCACGCGTAGGCTGCCAGGCCGTCCAGGTTGTCCAGGTAGGACACCATGCTGCTCAAGAATGTTTGAACTTGCGAAGAGTTGCCAGTCGCGCCAAACTGCAGGCAAGGCAACGAAGCAGGCTGAGTGGAGATGGTACATTCACAGCGAAGACAACGTACCTCAGTCACCCAAACAGGCTTCCCATACTTCTGAACGAAGCCGGAGATGTATGACTGGTAGTACGCCTCGTTTGTTGCCGAGTCGTAAATGTGCATCGCAAACGCGTCGATCGTGCAGCCACTGCATGCGCTCACGAATTGGTCGAGCCATGTCTCGCCCATAGGAGCGCCGCCATTCGTGACCGCAGGAGACACGAGTGTCGCCTTGCCTGCGAAAGGCTCCATGTACTGCATCCACGCACTTGCGGCCTCCTGCGGCGTCATGTTGGCCTGCGAGGAGTCATCAGGCTCGTTGAACCTGTACCAAAAACACAGCTAAGCCGTGCACCTGTGCTGCACGGGAAAGCACCTACGAGAAGAGAACCTTAGAGCCGTTGTTGATGGCTGCCTGGGCGTTTGCAGACCAGGTCGATGTGAATGAACTAGAGTCCCCCCAGAGCATAGGGATAAACATCGCCCCCTCGGGTATGCTACCCGAGTAGGTCTGACCCCAGTTGTATGCCCAGCTGACTTGACTGCAATCCGGTATTGTGAGCACAATGGAGACTGTCCATCCTTGTCCTCATTACCTCGAAGTGAATTGCTCAGTCAGCGACGCGTCATTGAACGAGAGTCCACGCTTGATACCACCAGGGAGTGGCGAGCTAGAGCCATTGGTGGGAGTGCTGGACGGCGCAGCACTAGAGGTAGTTGCGCTGTGACGTACGATTTGTCATTGCAAACGCATGGGAATGACATAAGGGGAGCTCACGTCGCAGTCACTGTGCCAGGGTAAGTTGCGGATGGACCGCCACGGCGCCGGAGACCAACTTTTTGCGCGGCTTTGAGGTGCTGCAGGTTGCTGATATGGGCGGCCTCCACGAGTCCAGCGACAACGAGCGAGAAGGAAACAAGCGAGACAGAAAACTTCATCCTGATTGACTTGGTCTACTGCGTGTAGAAGTTGGATTGTGATCGCAAAAGAGTGTATAGCGAACTGAAAGAGAGACACAGCCGGATTGGACGTCGGCCTGGGATGCACACAGAAAGAAACCAAGAGGGAGGAGGTCAGGGGAGAAGACAACAACCCGACCGACGACCAGAGGCCTTTTTATCATGGTCAGTCCGTCAATTTTTGCATGTTCGTCTCGAGGGCGGCAGTCGCTCGGCTATGTGGAGCGATTTACTGCGGACAGAGATTCTAATCGGCCGTTCCTAAGCCTACCATTCGGCAAAATCCGAGACATTTGCTTGCCGCGAAGGTACAGTACTTAATGAAATAAGATCTGGACATATCCCATGAATGCAAAGGATGGCGATTTACTGCAGAACTTACCACCTGCTAGTTTTCATGTCCAACAGCTGAGCTACCCGCATGGAAAAGTTCTGCGTGCTTGTCTGCGTTCAGAACTTGACTGTACCTTCATCCCGTCTGTGGTATCTGTAGCAACACCTATTTCCAACGATAGAACATTCCATTGTTCCAGGCCTGAAAAGACCACTTGTCCATCTAATGACGCAAGGTTAATCGATGCGCTCTGACGGACGACTGTCTTCGATCCCGATATTGTTGAACAAGCGACGAGTCAGGTTTCAACGCTCACTTGTCAATAGCCTAATCTTTCAAGTAAGGAAAAGTGAGAGGTGTTGGAAAGCATGGTCAAAACTGTGCCACATGCTGGATACTACAGGCATACCTGGTCATGCCGAATCACAATACTAAATATCCGTGTCCACGTTGACTGCTTTGCTTCAACTCAAGTTTGGTCAGCCTCAGTAGTAATATGGGACACATGCGTATACCGCGAGCGTAAGTCGCATGTCCCGCGCGGCTGCAGTGCTTAAGCAATAACCGCTTCGGTTCACTCGTCTGCGAGGATGATAGCGCCCGATATTTGAGCAGATATTCGCGGCGGACCGTCGACCTCTACGTGATCGTCGGCAGCTGTCCGAATAAGCAGAGACCACAGACTCAATCACAACCATGAAAAAAGCAAGTGATCATGTAGCCAAAGCATGAACTTGAAACATACGTTCCAGCACTTGCGGCTGTTGACTACTGTCGATCTGGGGTCATTGACGTAAATTGAATTGATACATCTAAATCACTTTCGTTAAATAAGATGTTAGTGTGGTCAGCAGCTCGGGGACCCGAATCGATCGGAAACTATACATCGGATCCGAGCATTGAACTTGATAATTTCCGCTACTCACCCGTGGCCGATGAAAGGGCGCAATAACTCAAGAGCTGCCTATACTGAAGGCCACAGGCTTCAGCACCTCCGAAGCGAAGCTGGCCTACCCGTTTCGTGTCGCACATTCAAGCAGAATACGAAGCCGCGGGAGGAATAGATTCACCAAACTGCAGAGGAATGGGGATATATGCTAATCATGTGTGTATAAAGTAGGAGATGACAGAACTTGAACAAATCCTCGAGGCTATTTCCCTCGGAATCAGACTCAGACTCAGACTTCGCCACATCAAAATCACATGACTGTTCTCAAAATAGAAACTGCCAATATACTGGACCGATACGACTAGATCACGCATAGTAACCATCTCCTAAAGTTTTCGTATTCGAATCGCGTCCTTCGGTCTGTCTAGTGTCAAGTATGGACAGTGAAAAATATGCAGTCATCGAAACTCTTGAAGTTGAGGACGAGGATCAACGGCGCACGCGAATGGGTGGGTAGGCTACGTTCTCAAGACCGGCCTATCTCACAATTGTTTCTAGGCTCTTTACTCAGACGACTGGATGCCTCGTCTTCTGCTGCTGGGGAGGCTGTGAATGATACCCCAAGAATGGACGATAGAACAGCGGCGACAGTTCCACCTTTAGAATGTAAGAGCGCACATACTTGTATCATCGTCGACGACGAATACCCATGTACATACAGTACTATCTCGTGTGCAAGCTTTTCTCCCTCAGCTTGCTGCATCAAACGCCGAACTCTCTCGTCGCATTCGAGACGATCCGCGGAGTGTCGATATCGAGAACACCGCTGAAGCTGAGCAGTATATTGAGATGGCAAGCATATTTTCACAGTTGGCGCATGTCGGAGCTCATTGGCAGGATGCATTAGCAACTCGGATTGGGTGTTTTTGAGCAGCACGGACCTGCTCCTCCCGACACCCCATATGACGCAGATTTACGAGAAGAGGACACATTCTCCGAGTCGGCCTCCTCGGATTCCTCAGGAATAGACTCAGGTTCAGAGTCAGATTCTGATGTATCCGAGTCAGATGTATCCGATGAAGGCGATACGTCTTCAGAAGAGTCTGAAAAGATCCTAAGACCCATAAAACCCCTCCCGAAACGCGCCCTTCGAAAACCAAATATCGTCGTAGTCGGTGAAGAACCTTTAGCTCGTGGCGAACCATGACGTCTAATTATATGAACACTTGAATGTTTGATACCGACTTCGTGTATAATAGGATTGTGGTCTATATCTGCAGTGCTTGCCTTCCTCGAGACAGACAACCAACACAAAGCGCATGCATTTTATCTTACATTGTTGCTAAGATTCATGATTCATATAGCTACACTGGCAACATTTATAAAAAACAGGACAGACAGACTTCATGCTGCCCTCGCGTATGCGTTCCAGACACGCTCAGAAACAGCACGTTTTGGACAGCGTCTACCGGTCCAGAGGTAAAACTGCTTGAAGCCTTGCTCAAGCAACACCTCGACACCCCGCACCCGGTTCCACTTCTGCGCCACGTCTGCCGCCAGTCCAAGCAATGGAGTCTCCGCAGGCTTGTACGCCATATCAACCACCACGCCAGGATATTGACTTGCGAAGATTGAGCTCGGGAGGTACAACGTGTTTTCGACATTCGGGGAGGTGCTCGTCGCCGACGCGGGCACGGTTGAGATGATCACAGTAGGAGGCCGACCGCCTTCTGGCCAGGTGCCCAGTTCGTCGATAATTACCACACCCGCGTCGGGGAATGCGTTAACTAGGACCTCCGCGCTTTGCCTTGTCCTATTGTAGAGGTATATGGCCTTGACCCCCAGCTGGCGCAAGGCGTAGATGGCTGCGCGTGAGGTACCACCGGCTCCAATGATAAGCGCAGCATCAGGTGTCTGTGCTGTGTTCGGCAGAGCAGACCGTATGCACTCCAGAATCCCAATCCAGTCAGTGTTGTCGCCATATAGCAAGGGCGAGCCATTCGACTTCTTTCTAGGCACAATAGTGTTGACTGCGCCAATAGCCTCCGCCTCTGGTGACAATGAGTCCAGCAAAGGGATAACGTCCAGCTTGAAGGGGATGGTCACTGAGGCACCGCCGAAGTCGGGGGAGACTAGAGCCGCTTTGATCTCTTCGCCAACGGACTGAGTTTCGAATAGTTCGTACTTGTGTGGTAGCCCAAGGATCTGGAAGGCAGTATTGTGAAGGGTTGGTGACATCGAATGCGCGATCGGGTTGCCAAAGATGTAGAAGCGCTGAGCCGGACTCTGTCCAATCAGATGCAAAGCAGTCTGGATCTCAGCGAAGGAGAGCTGACCCGGGGCGGCTTTCGAAGGAAGGAGAGGATGCGAAACTGGGCTCAGGGTAGGGTTCAGAATTCGGGATAGCTGGCCCTCGACGCCCATATTGATTCCGATCAAAGGCTTCCCGTTCGTACTCGACTGCATGCGCTTCGCAAAACGGTGCAGAGCAAGGTTATCCTCAAATCCATTAGCCTTGCCCACAATCTTAACGATGTCGCCAAACTTGGAAGCAATTTGATATTTTGCCTCTACCTCCTTACCGTCCCAGAGCATGTTGCCGCTCCAATCGTGCCAAGAGGCAATTATCACGGAATGGCCCTTACGCGCCACAAGCTCTTGGATGCGCTTCTCTGACCAAGAAATTTCCACATCGATGTACTCCACACCCATCCGGGCAGCAGCATGGAACAACTCAAACGCTTCCGCTTCCGCATGAGGGGGAAACTGTCCTCCTTGGGATATGGTCCGAGTGGTAAAGACAATCGGCAAAGACGTCTTCTGTCTTAAAGCAGCGATCTGATCGGTGACATATGCGACAGAAGGAATCCAAGATCCCGGCCGCTCAAAGTCCTTCTGCGAACGGAGCATGTCGACGCGCAATTCGATGGCGTCGACGCCAGTTGTCAATTCTTCAATGTGTGCCAGAGCAGGGGCGATGTCTGGGTACGTGAGCGACAGGAAGTATGTTCTCCTGTCACCAGTCTTTGTGGGCGCCAAATTCGGCCGCTGGCCAGTAATATGGTGGAAAAAGCGGTCAACTTCATCTCGAATACTGTTCTGGGATGGCGACGCCTCCACTACGAGCTGAGTGTCCGCATGTCCGTTAACAGCGGAGCGTACAGATCCAGTTCGATTGACGAACACATAACTGCAGCATTCTGCAAACCATGGTTCACGGCGCTGGAAGACGTCCATGATTGGCTCTCCATATGCTGGGCGAAGCGTCTCTTCTCCAAGGTACTCGACGACCTCGTCCATATCTCGCACCACATGCACCACAGGGCCGTGTTTGGCGAACGCTTTGAGGAGATCTCGGGCACCCGGCGTCTCCACGATGCCACCACCAAGACTGATCACGTATCCCTTGGGATGTTTTGTGATCAACTCCTGCAGCACTTCAGTTTCAGCTGCACGGAAGGCGGGCCATCCGTGTTTGTTAACAAACTCTCGAACTCCGGTCTGATGCTTCTCTTCAAATACCGCGTCCGCATCCAAGAACTGCCAGCCGAGGACGGACGCAGAAAGTTGACCAATGTACGTCTTCCCAGATCCTCGCATTCCGATGATGATGATGGATGCGGCAGTGTCTTCAGTAGCAGGTCCGCTAGCGGACGCTACAGAGTGGGAGACGGGAAGTTCCACACCCTCGACGTCTATACCAATCTTAGGATACAGTCAGCATTGGCCGAACCCTATCGTCAATCGAGCCGCATACCTTGTTCACAAGGTCATCCCACCAGTTGGGCCAGGTTTTCTCGACACACCGCTTTTCCTCCAAGACGGTATCTTTGACCACAGTGCTCAAAACACTAAATGCCATAGCCACGCGATGATCGTCGTAGCAATGTATACTCGCTCCTGCCTTCAGTTCTTGAATCGGCTTGCCGTAAACCTCGAGACCGTCGTCCAGCTCTTTTGTTTCAACGCCGAACTTGGCTAATGGGACAATCTCAGAAACGATCCAAATGATGACGGGCATGCCACGACTCACCTAGTTGATCTATCATAGCCCGAATGCGGTTGCATTCTTTCACCCTCTGGTTCGCAATACCCAGGATTCGCGTAGTTGTCGGCCTTGAACCGTCTGTCAGCTCTCGCCCTTGCAATGGTGTGCCAGTCGCGACGGCAGCAAGCACAGACGCGGTTAAGAATGCATCCGTCATCGGCTCCATGTCCACGTATCCTAACGCCTTGAGCTTGCCTAATGGGGGACCTGTTACTGTAGTCTCGGTCTCGGTTTGGACCACCTCGCAGCCCATCGGCTCCAAGACCTCCTTCGCGAAGCGCGCATCACCCTGAAGTGAAGCAGATCCGATGTTCGCAATAGTACACGTCGTCCCGGTGATCGCGGCGATAGCAAGAGGGTAGGTGGCGCTACTGGCATCCGATTCGATGTTGTAACTTGAGGGATTCGTGTAGACGGCCCTCGGAATGTGATACACATCGAGCAGCTTCCCAGTAGCTTTGTCTGCCTGACGTTCGACGTTGATACCGAACGTCTTCATCATGGCGATCGTCATGTCGATGTATGGCTGAGAGATGACCTGCCCCCCCGTAAGTTCTAGCGTGACGGGATCTTGGGCGTATGGCGCACATAACAGAATGGATGAGACATATTGGCTAGAGACGCTCGCGGCGAGTTGGATCGTCGAGCCCTTCAAACCTGCAGGTGCGACAGACAGCGGGAGACAGCCCTGGGATTCTACATAGTTGATGTCGCTTCCATTGGCGCGCAGTGCGTCGACGAGTGGTCCGATCGGGCGTTGCTTCATGCGCGCGTTTCCAGTAATCACAGTACGCTCGCCTGTAGCAGATGATTGAACCAGTGTGCAGACCGTCGTGAGAAAACGCGCCGCGGTACCGGCGTTTCCGAGATAGACTTCTTTGCCATTCGGAGGGACTGAGAGGGAGCCTTCGCCTCCCTGCACAACGAGAGTCTCACCATTGTCTTCCCAAGAGAAGCTGGCACCCTGCACATTCGCTTCAGTATGAATGCAGCGAGGGAAGCAGTGACACGTACCTTGAGCTCTACTAGCGCATTCATCATTACCTGCGTATCGTCAGAGTGCAATAGATTCTTCAAGCGACACGTCCCTTTGCCCAGTGCGGCGAGAAGCAGAGCTCTGTTTGAGATACTCTTCGAGCCCGGCGTCGCCATGCGCACTGGGCTTTTTGTGGGCGTTCCAGGTATGACTTTGACGGCTTCAGACAGGGTCTTCGCGATCACGCTGTCCGCCACGACGGTCGCCTTTTGCTCGTACGTCGCCCCGATACGCGACAGTATGACGATCTTCTTGTGCGGGCCGCTGTTCTTCTTGTCAATCTTCATTATGTCCAGCAGCTTCTGGACGCCGAGGCCCTTCGCCGCAGGAAGGCTGGCAATACGCGCGTCGGACAGAGATACGGGGAGGTTGTACGCTTTCAGACACCGCGTTAGGCGGCCCACCGCGACTTGGCTGAGCACGCCCAACTGTCTTGCGACCTCTGCCTCAAGAAGCATACCTACGCTAACACACTCGCCGTGCAAGATTGTGGGCGTCAGGACGGCCTCGATAGCATGTCCGATGGTGTGTCCAAAGTTGACAAGGTTGCGCAGGCCAGTCTCGCGCTCGTCAATGGTGACTATATGCGCCTTGACCGAGATAGAACCCGCGATTACGGAAAGTAGAAGCTGCTGTGCGGGGGAGCGAGTGGACTTGGTGCGCCCAGAGAAATCTTTCGAGGGCGTCTGTATTGCCGCAAAGATTTCGGCAGAGCGCGATTCGAGTGCAGAGAACTCGTCTTCATTCCAAATCGCGGCAGTCTTTACGACCTCGGCCATTCCGTTTGAAAACTCGCGCGCAGGCAGTGTCTCGAGGAATGCTGCGTCGATGAAGATGTACTCCGGCTGCCAGAATGCGCCGATGAGGTTCTTCCCGTGTGGGGTGTCGATGGCAGTCTTCCCCCCCACGCTGGAGTCCACCATCGCGAGCAGCGTGGTGGGGATCTGCACAAAGCGCACTCCGCGCATGCTGTACAACATTACAAGGACGCATTGGCACAGACATCGGAGCACTTACAATGTAGCGGCGACGAAGCCTACCAAGTCACCAATTACACCCCCACCGAGGGCAAGCATGACCGTATCGCGTGTGCATGTATTCAGGAGGAGAAAGTCTTCAATCTCTGCCTTTCCCTCTCGACTTTTACTAGTCTCGCCTGGTGGAATAACATAGCTCAAAAACCTCGCTTGCGCGGAAAGCTTGTGCTCCTCGAATGCTGTCTGAAAAGCCGCCAGGTGGAGGCTCGCGACGTTTGTATCTGTGACCAAGACATAGGTGGACGATGGGAGTGTCTGCAGAACGGTGTCGACGATGTACGGGACAAGGTGGAGGCCGCAGTGGATGGACTCCTTCCCTAGGATGGAGACCTTCTGGATATCGGCGATAGACATTTTGGGGGTTGTGAGACTGCTTCGCAGTCGCTTTGGCCGTCTTAAAGGGGAGAATCCGCGCTCGATTCAGCGGCAGTGCGACTGCCCACGCGCGGTACGGTCGCAGGACCAGAGTATTGCCTCGAAATGACCGACTCGGGTTCTCTCCTAGGTTTCGCTAAGAACGCTGATGGACTACTCCTGGGAGCCAACGGCTGTCGATCCTCAGTCGTGAACAAGCCGTGAATGAGTCGGAAACAAGTCGGAAATGTGGGGGTGTAGACGCCGGTACCAATAGATGGGGCAGATGGATGTAAACCCAATTCCAGGGTTCACCCATGATTTGTGGTTAGGGTTCTCAACTTTGGCTGGTTCAACGCTTCAAGTTGGTTTGGCAAACGCTACTCTCGGCAAGCATCCCTTCTACTTCCCTGATTCTCAAAGCTAATGATACCATTGACGCTACCGAATGCTTAATCTATACTTCTCCAATAACCATTACTCGCCTCTGTATAGCTCATTTCAAACGTTCATGTCATAGCGCGCAACGTTCGACAATGCATCACTCAATTCGAGCTACATAAACTCACAACTTGGAGCGAGCTAGTCGTATCCTATACATACGTACGCCCAGTGTCCAGTCACTTCCGCTCGGACGCTCGGACGATATTGTTCGCCCCGAGCAAGTCGGATTGCAAGATTATGAACGCAGCGGAGCGCAACGGACGAGGATCTTGCGTGAATCAAATCTACCATAAAATGACATCTCGCCATATTATCTTCATTCGGACTTCCAACAGGCCGTGTGCAAGTACATTCGTGCGCCATCAGCTTGTGGTACAACAGGGATCTGGGTGAGGAATAGCTGCACAAATCCGTCTGATCTGGTGCTAAAAACCCCAACTTGACTGTCTTTTCAACATATTCAGATACGAGACCAAGTATGAAAGGCTTTTGAAATACCATGAGGAAAAAATAGAAGTTCAAGTCCACAAACATACACTGTGTGCGTGCCTGTATTCGAAGTTGGTTAGTGCAAGTTAATTCGCGCTAGACGTACATTATTCACATATGTGTAGCCCGGTAGCCAGGCTCAACTTCTATTATGACAAAGTTAGACTGAGAAACATGGCAGCCAAAGTATTTGTAGTCCCCTCAAATGTCCATAGATTGTACCTCGAACGTCGAAATGAAAATCCTGAGGGACTCACTTCTAATTTTAGAAACAACGATATATATAGACGAGGACGAGATCAACGAAAGCACTCAACCATGATCAGTAAAATTAGTCCGCGAGTGGAACAATTTATTTAAATAAACTTGACTCGGGTGTCCTGTCTCCATGAAAAGTATGTCGTCAACTGAGGCCCGTTCTTGCACATTAGGTCCTATTAGCTTCGTTGCGAGTGGCCTTGGAATGGACACTTGGACATTGCTGGGCACTAACCGTAAACATTTCGAGCCTCGAGGTTCTCATCAGGGTGCGGACGATATCGGGAGGTCCGGGACGACACTGGTGGCGTTTCATGGACACGATCGACTCGTCGAGACTCGAGCGCTGCAGTTCCGGCTCTGCACGTACAATGTCCTGTATATCTGACACTGCGCGTACACCAATGACGAGAACACGGCGGGTATCAGCTCACCTGAGTCCAAATGCACACGCACAGACAGCCCACTCGAACGATGGTGTCCAATTTAGCTGTCAAAAAGGACGAGCTGCGGTGAACATCACGGAATGTTTCCCGGGACCGACCGTGCGCGGGTTCGCGTGTCGGAACAGAGCACGATTCCGCGACTCGGAGGTGTCGAGGGAGATAGCATTTGAGCCACAATTGGACCCGTAAATTTCCCTGAGTTCGACGCTGGCCAATGGAGATTGAACGGGGAGCGCGACGAGGTCGGAACAGGCCAAAAAATCAGGCATACGCCCGGCGTCTGGCGGGGCGGCGGTTGTGACGCGAGCGACTCGCCAGAGTCCACCACTCTTTATCTTGCTCCTCTCCCATACATAAGTTATACCCTCTCCTGTGCTGTTTGCCCAGCCTTAATCATGCAGGTGGCTCGTGGTATGTTCTTTTATTTCACTTCAGTCTGTCCGAGACCGTCGGGTTGATCGCTGGTTCCAGTTCGCTCCGTCGTCGGGAAAAGCCTGGTCAAGTCTCGGCCGGCCGCCTTCACGCCTCACACTAGACTCCAGCTCACAAGGAGAACTGCTTCTACGGAATCTGCACCTCTTGTATGTCATCCCTTGGTCTTTTGTTTGATCAATATGAACTTTGCCATGAAAGGCACCCCCTCCCCCTCCAAATTCTCGCTTCTGGAGGCGTTTCTTGCAGACAGTCGGTGGAGTGACCCTAGTGACAATTGGGAGTCTCGGTGCATTCTACTACGTCGCGCAAAAGGACAAGACTCCAGGTGTACAGCTGCCTCATGACCCAGAAAAGAAGACACTCGTCGTTCTCGGCAGTGGGTGGGGTGCGACAAGCTTGCTGAAATCGCTCGACACGACAGACTACAACGTGGTACGTTTTCGTGGGATTAACCCTGTTCGCTGCGTCCCTGAGAACTCGCTCCTAGATCGTCATCAGCCCCAAAAACTACTTCCTGTTTACTCCGCTCCTACCCAGTGTTGCGGTCGGCACGCTCAACCCACGGTCCATCATCCAACGTGCGTCATTATTTCTTGTCCCAGATGCCCCCACTTCTCAGTTGCACGGTGTCACTCTATTCCCATAAGGCGACGTACGCGCTCATCTGCCAGTCGTTGATACTCTCCGGCCCGTTGCACTGTGATTCTGGTTCACGCATACTGTCAATTGACTCTGGGCCATGGCCGCAAGTGCTGCCATTACCCGAAGTCAGATTGGGATAGCTGCCGCTCTCATCGACCCTGTCTTATTCGTGACCGTGGCTTTCGGACTCATGTGCTAATGGCCTCGTTCAGCGACGCGATATGTCACACGTCATAAGACGCGACAAGTCTCCGTGATTGAGGCCTCCGCGACGGAAGTCGATGTACGTTACATGCTCGGCTGCGAGTGCTTCCAGAAGACACGCTGATTTTGGATTTCGACATTAGCCTATCGCGAAGACTGTCAAATTCGCAGGTGGGTATATCCGAGCATTTATCGCAGACCGACTACATTCAAAGCGCATATGTTTATACAGACACCTCTGAGATTCAGGGTGAGGTCGCGGAGACGTCAATCAAGTACGACTATCTCGTGTTCGCCGTGGGTGCCGAAGTACAGACGTTCGGAATCCCTGGTGTGAAAGAGCATTCATGTTTCATGAAAGAACTAGAGGATGCTGAGAAAGTGAGCTTTTCGTTCACACAGTCAGTTCCGTCGCTGATCGACGTCTGCCATAGATGCAACGGCGGTTCCTCGACTGTGAGACACTTGCCATATGTATGGGATTTCCACTGATTGTATTGCTGTAGGCCTGGAGTCTGCCGCGTTCCCTGGCCAGTCGCAAGACGAGGTCAACCGTCTGCTCCACATGGTGTGTATGCCGACGCTCATCTTAGATTTCTGTGATTGACCGTATCTGCAGGTCGTTGTTGGGGGTGGTCCTACCGGCGTTGAGGTTAGGTGCGTCCGCCATTGATCTTTCGTCTGTCATTACAGCGACTCATTTCCGCGCAGCGGTGAGATTCATGACTTCCTCGAGGTGAGTTCGCCGTGCATGATTTGAAACTGTATCACTCAATCACCGTCTAGGAGGATCTGCGCTCGTGGTATCCGGAGCTCGCGAACAGCGTGCGCATCACGCTGGTAGAGGCGCTCCCGAGCGTGCTGCCCATGTTCAGCAAGCAGCTGATCGACTACACGGAGTCGACATTCAAGGAAGCCAAGATCGACATCCTCACGAAGACGATGGTGAAGGAGATCAAGGAGAAGAGCGTTGTACTACAGCGACCTGACAAATCAATTGTGGAAGTACCGTGTGGCCTCGTTATCTGGGCTGCTGTGAGTAGCGTGTTCTCAAACGTGGATCTGCACTGACCAGGGTGGATGGCAGGGCAACAAGCTCCGCAAGGTGACCCAGGATCTGATGGCCAGGTTGCCCCAGGCACAAACCAACAGGAGGGGTGTAGCTGTCGACGGTAAGTCTTCATTTTGATATTCGAGGAGACCTTCATTGATCGACTCTTATGCGCTGCCAGCCCACCTCCGCATGGAGGGGACGGATAGCATTTGGGCGATCGGAGACTGCGCAGCGACGTCGTATGCACCGACGGCGCAGGTGGCATCGCAGCAGGGAGCCTACTTGGCACGAATTCTCGCGCAGATCGCTAAGCGTGACAACCTAGAAGTGCGACTCAAGACGCTGCAGGATGGGCCACAGACGGAGGAGACCAAGCCAGAAATAGCGAGCATCGAGCGCCAGCTTGTGAAGACGGAAAAGCTGCGGCCGTTCCACTACTCGCATCAGGGCTCCCTAGCGTACGTTTTCCTTCGTCATTGTGGCTATGCGCCCAGATTTACGGGGTGTATAGGTACATTGGATCGGATAAGGCTATCGCCGACTTGCCTTTCTTCAATGGCAATGTGAGTAGAATGAGTATGCATACGTCGATGTTCATTGATTTTGTCAATCAGCTTGCAACGGGTGGTGTGGCAACGGTGCGTCTCCCAACTTGGATCGTAGTCGCCGAATTCCTGACTTAGTTTTTGGTAGTTCCTCTTTTGGCGAAGCGCCTACCTCAGCACTCTCTTCTCCCTGCGAAACCGCACTCTAGTTGCGACCGACTGGATTAAGGTCAAGCTATTCGGACGGTGCGTCATCTGCTTGATTCCTAGGATGTGGTGACTGACTCTTTATTCGTAGTGACGTGAGCCGTGAGTAGTGTGGCTGGCTTGGATATGGAGCGCTTTAGCGCAGTTGGATTGCGGACATTTTTTGTGACGACACCGATAGATTTATACGATATGTTCATTTGATTTGATAGATGTCGCTTACTACACACATTTAACATTAGGTTTCTATCTTGACATCTTCGGATGGATTCATTATTTTGAACTTATATATCCGGAGTGCCCCTGTCCCTGATCACGTATGGTGGTCTCTCGCATAGTAATGTCTTGAATCCTAGACCCCTCAGCGACAGAGATCTAGTTCATGAAGGTGGGATTCGATGCTCGACAGCCATTATTGTCATTGAGACCGAAACTTCAGAATTTGAGTACTGCACGCCCCACAAGCTTGCCACTCTCCAACTCCTCCAAGACACTAAAAGAAGCACCGCATTATCCAATGACGTGCATGGCATCCAGAGAAGATTCGTCAGGCCTAAAGCTCACAGGCTGTAAACCATACTGGTGCGCACCTGTTGATCTCTTCAAAAGGCCGCTCGACATAATGAGCGCGCACCTTCCCGCGCGCCGCGAGCGCAAGTGCTTCCTGTACAGCTAGACGACCTCTATAATTAAGTATGAATATCTTGCTGAGTGTGTAATATAGAATACGAAAGGCACCCAGTTTGTGACGCGATGAGTTTAATCCCCTGTGGAGTTCGAAGTCCAAGACGTAGTGACAACGACCTTAAGAGCCATATTCAGTGCAGAACAAATATTATAGCGTACCCTATCGACAACGAGCCCGATGGGAAAGTCGGTCAGAGTGGGAGGGACGCCAACACAAAGTATGGTGCCCTGTCGCCGCACATACTTCGCTGCCTGAACGTACGACAAACTCTGCGCGTACATACAGTGCACACCACCGGTATGGCATGAGCAGCATAGGTGTAGAGAGGATGTTCAGACAGAGCAACGAAAAGTGAATGCATGAGCCAAAAAGATGACATATAGAGACTGGTACACGTACAGAGGTGGTCGTCACGAGCGCCGCATGCACACCTAGTGGATCAGTTGCAGCACGCACATCCGCAGGAACATCCGTGGATTCGGCGTAGTCGATAAACGCCTCGGCACCGAGGGAAAGGCAAAGTGTGCGCTTGTCTGCGCCAGTGTCTATAATGACAAATGGATAACAATCAACATCATTGTATAGCGAAACAACGTACCAATGGCAGCAACGCGCAGGCCACGGGAGATGGCATATTGTATGCCTAAGAAGAATACGATATATTGGTCGAAGAGCTGTCTCCCAGGATAAAAAGATGGGATGACGCACCGAGATGGCCGAGTCCCCCGCCCCCGCCTGAGATAACCAGCCAACTGCCCGTGGGCGCATCCAGTTTCTTCAGAGCATCGTAGACAGTGACACCCTACAGAGAATTCATTATAATAATATGTGGGGCTGTGAAAGCAGAAGGGTTACATACAGCACACAAGATGGGTGCAGCCGCGACGCTCGAAAGGGCCGCAGGGATCGGAATGAGCTGATCTACGAATGCCACCTGGATGTCTACTGTGTGCTAGTCTAACTTACGCTGTCGAATGTATGCGTACCATGTACTCCGCAAATGTTCCATCTACATCTCTCCCCGACACCACGCGATCGGGACAATCTGCATAGTGTAGCCAACGTCAGTTCACTGAAGCATTGACATTAGGCATAATGGTTCACATACGTTGATCAAATCCTCGGAGACACATATCACATCGCATGCACGTCCCAATAGTGTGTTTGATACCAACGCGGTCGCCAATTTTTACGCCACGATCGGCCGTATGCGCACCAATGGCGACGACACGACCAACACCCTCATGTCCGCCGACACTAGGGAGCAGCGGCTGCTCTAGCCAGTCGCCTAACATCAGGTGCAAGTCGCTGTGGCATACCCTGCACCATGCCATGTTGGATCAGATAGCACCACATAGTATCGGTCGACAATGTAAGGGAAGATGAGATTGATCGTATGGGAGCCTAATGCCCAAGTTGCACGCGGACTCACCCAGTATACTCGATCTTTACGATACATTCGCCTGGTGCGAGAGCAGACGGATTCTTCACCGGCCAGTCGGAACTCAGCTCGGTGCGCATACCGAGCGCTGTGGTCACAGCAGCACGTGTAGTTAGAGGTATGGTCTCATTCTGCAGGCCGAGTTGAGACGCCATGGATGATACGGTACCGGTCGAAAGTTTATGAAAATGTTACTCCAACGTGGGCAACGAGAAGCTCAAAGCGGAAGCGGATCCCGATGGGCCCGAGAGCAGAATTGTCTCAACCTTGGGTCGCCTGACACGAAGCCCATAGATTGAGCTAATATACGCTATTACGATAGCGTCACTCAGCTACTGACTACATAGTATAGAAGACTAATCAGTGAAATGAGAACCTCTCTGATAAAGAAAGACTGACGTTCACACGCGCCTGAGTAAAGGAGCAATGAACGATTGCAGAGGGCCGCGGCAACCAGTAAATATGTGGATAGCGGCCAAAATATCAGTCGAGAATACAATAATGATAACCTACAACAGATCTCAGATTGACGTATCATTAGATCACGATAGCAATAGGCCACACTGACTGCAACAGGGATTTAAGTATGACGACGAACGATCATATGAATGATGAGAGCTAGTTTTTCTCGGGTATTTTACCGGATGCAGGGAACAATCGCAGTGATTATACAGCTGCTTTAATGCTGTTCAAACGAACAACCAACGGTAACAGTGATACGTTCTCACTCGAGGCATAATATTGCACACAGTCGAGATGAACCTAATTCAAGCATGAGCAAGATCAATGAGCAGAATTCCGCGCATCCGTACCTTGAACCTAATGAACACGAACCATGAAAATGTTGTTTTTAAAAGAGAAGAGAATCGAGGTTTACGCACCAATGATTGAAGTTTGTTTCAAACTTGCTGAGAAAATCCCATCGCTTGGCCATCGCCTGGTCACCTTCGGGCATGTCCGCAGCTGCCAGTGCCTGGTTGGCAGATTTTGTGAAGGATGCCGTATACAGAGCAAAGGTTGAACAAGTGACGATCAGGCGTGAATACGCCTATAATGAAGTCAGATTAACTGTATCACTGGACTTCAGAGAGTACTGACGCGGAGTAACTTTGAACTAGTCAGCATACACTCTTTCAAACACGTGTCCAAGAAATCGACATGGTCTCTCAGAAGCTGATCGACGGTTTCAACTTTCCCAGCCTCGAGTCTTCCTTCGAGCTTGCGCCAGTTAGGCTCGAGTACTTCAAACGTTGCGAAAGCCAAAATTTGTTGCACGAATGAAAGCATTCGTGCTCGGAGTAAGAAAACACGCTTGCGCCAGTTTTCAAAGTCGGTATGCCAGTCATCAGCCAGCGACTGCGGGACAGTGTCGGCCGGACGAGTAGCACGTCGCCAGGGGGATGTCTTATGTTCTATCCACATGGAGGAGAGCGACTGTTCGACGTGTTTGAGATGCAATAGAAAACGGAAGATGAGCTGGTAGCGTAGAATTGTCTTGCGTGAAATTACTAGTGACAACGGGAACTTCACCGTGTAGTCTAACGTTAGCGCGTCAATGGCTGCTTGCATGAACCATAGCGAGATCTATCAGCGTCATCTCCAAAGGCAATACACATACGTACCCAGAATTTGTTTCTTGTCGTCTTTCTCCTTTTCTTTCTTCTGTTCCTCGTAGGCATCTGCGCCTTCGCCATCTTCACCGGCAATTATACCATTCACGCTGACGACCTTGAGCAGCCACTCATATAGCCCACTTCCCGCCATGATTACACGCAGATCTTCGCGAAACATGGCGTCCTCGCCTTGCGTATCAGTGTTGAGCGCGAGGTCCAGCAAGCTCTGAAGCTTCACAAGCGAGGCGGACTTCGCTGATTTGCGAAGCTCCGTGTGTGAAAGGTCAAGAAGATGTGTGAGGAAGGACGACTGTGAGAGGAAGAAAAACCGCTTCAGAGACCGCAATCGGGGCATCAGTTGTTGGTCTTGCAAGAGTAGCTGCAGAAGCGTGCGATTTGCATGTGAGTATGCGTCATCTATGGATTTATACAGTCTGTAAGCATGATGGTTGTTAATAACATCTAGTAATCATCAATGAATCAGAATTACTTCTCGTCATCCATAGACAGATCTTCATCATCTGCATGGCTGGGGTCTCGTCCAATTTCAATACCACATTCTCGGATAACATTGAGATACTTTCCCGCTAACAGTATCTTCAATTTCCAACGCTCCAGGGCAGGCGGGACACAAGCACCTCCAGGTAATCGACCTCCAACGGTCCGGGGTGGGGGAACTCCGGCCTGATGACGCTTGGACGAACCGTTCATTGTCGATCCATCTCTAAGCTGCGATTTCATGCATCAACATAGCACATATACAGTATAAAAACCGCAACATTACCGTATAACGTCGTTCCCAATATTCATCTGTATAGTCCATCTCCAGTGTGCCCCGATCGATAAACTTGCTCTCCTTCACACACAGCTCCTCATAAGGATCCACCAGATGACCGGTACGAATCCAAGCCTGTACCATCTCGATGTATGGTCTTCCAGACGAATGTAGGAGCGCGCCATATAAGGTGCGGGCAGCGGGATCACCGGACATGTTTTGCATTCGCTCGTACATGATTGCCAGAACTTCCCCGCCCTTAACAGCAATCCCGCTGGTACCGGCGTCAGCACCAAGTCGAGATCCTTTGTTGATTTCGGATAGGACTGCTTTCAGCTTGGTGCCACCTAGACCCAGTGCTTCATTCCGCGCGTCCTCTTCAGAATCAGACGCGCTTGCCGAATCAGAGTCAGACAATGCGGTGGAAGGATCGTCAGCAGTCGCGAGTTCTGTGGTAAGCAGATAGAGTAGTGACAGCGTGTGCAATGTAGGATGCACATAAAACCAGAGCTTTTGCAACGTGAATTGTGGAGACGTGCTAAATGCATGTTCTAGTTGTGCCAATAACGTTTGGTAGTCCTAGGTGTATGTGAATGGCTCCGGAGATAGCCAGAAGGGTGAATGGATGTACCTTCAACATGTCGCGCATCGCAGCGCACAATGCATGATTCACGAGCCCAAAATCAACGTGACTTCGTAGCTCTATGAACGAAGTGATAGCGGTGTAGTATGTCGCGAGCGGAAGAATCCTCTCAACTAGATCACGAAGCGATGGATCTATAAAAACAGTTGATTATTTCTCTACATGAATGCAGGAGCCTTGGGCGCACCTAATAAGGGTGATACACTAAAGCGTACGCCTTGTAAAGGATCATCGTCTTCAGGTGAGTAATTGGGATGGTAGGTTATATATGTCCCTTCGATTCCCTATGAATTTAAGTCAATTCTGACTTCAACACCCTTATCACAACTAGGCCATAGCTTTGTCGAGACGTTTCGCACCATCAGAACAAATAAGAGGTCCTCTAAGAGTAATGCCTCCTGTATATCAACAGGAACCCCATCTAAGGTGTCCTTCGCCTTTCCCTTTCCTTTTGAATTGCTTTTTGGTACCCCAGAACTGGATACAACGCGGGAATTCAACGGTGCTCGCACGAATGAAGTTTCAGCGATAAATGAGGGCTCGTCGCGTCCTGGTACGAGTTTCTTCATAAATGTGATCTAAGCACAATCGCGGAGAGTATGCTCACCTCGACTTGAGGTATCACGCGACGAAGGCATACGCACCGGAGGCCCTTCCGCAGTTTCATCCTCCATGTACTGACGAGTTCTTCGTACAGATGCGATCGTTCCTGTAACCTTAACCGGGAGTGGGAGTTAATTAATGTGAACTGTGAAGCATCCCGCTCCACAAACTTTGGTGTATTCTTTAGCAGACAACGTTATATTCTTCTTACGTCCCCCGATCCGAGAGCGAGGTGTATATGGGTCCATGTCTGCAACCGAGCCGCTTCAAGAATAATGAAAGAACGTTGCCCTATTTGAAAGGTAGATGGCGAAGACTGTAGCCTAGTTCGACCACTATTTCAGAATCCAGACCGCCGCTCAGTCGCGACCAGAGAACGCGCGCGAAACGTAAGCGCCCGTGAGCGTCTGATTATGGATACACGTGATGCTCTCCAAATCGTATTTGAGTAATTCATGCCAGAATACGTAAGCTACAGTGAAAGCTCACAGCCATTAAAAGGTGGATTTGTGTCCATACCATTTAAACCCGTGCAATCAATATACTATATAAGGCAAAGATAAGTTCACAATACGTTATCCCAAATACTCGTGAATTGACTTGGCACTTGACGCTTCGTCTGTACGACCAAACTACTTGCAACCTGTGGGCCGTGACGTTCTCACTCGCAATCCAGAAGAATGCGAGATGCAAACGTCTACAGCTTGCGGAGGGCGATGCCTCGCATGGTGAGGACGCGTTCACCACACATTGACGAGCGAGCTAACTATGTGCAGAGCTGGCACCCGCGCAACCTGTATAACCTGTGGCGACGTCAACTGGGAGGAAAGGTCGAAGACACAGTCTTCACACAGACACCCAAAAGCTTGTTTCAACAGCGTTGGGCCGCCAAAGCACTCCTTCGCGCGTATCATGGGGATTACATCAACGAGAAGATTTTCAAGCGTTGGTACCTGCCTTCAACGTTGCCAGACGTGCGTTCGCAGGCGATCGGTAGTGCTGCCGACGCTGCGTCGCTCAATAAATGGGCAAAGAGGGAACAAGCTGCCGAGAAAGAGGCGAAACGACTGGAGGACGAACGAACGAAGGGGCTGGCGCCTGTGGGCAGTTTGATGTTCAGAGAGGTGGAGAGGCGGATAGACGTCATCGTGTTCCGCTCGTGTTTCGCGCACAGTGTATACGAGGCACGAAGGCTTGTGGTGCACGGAGACATCATGTTGAACGGGAAGAAGGTACGTTTGTGTACTTCACAACATGACGATCACTAACAGGCGAATGCTTCGGTAGCACACGAATCCTAATACCAGACTAGCTCCAGGCGACATGATCTCGGTGAACCCTGAGGCAATCCGCTTCTTGCAGCCCGATGCGGCACAAAATGTTACTGACGCCGACGCTGTCTCTGAAGAGGGGGCACAAGAAGATGCACCTTCAGCTCCCGCAGCTTCTGAGGTAGACTTGGAAGATTTACAGGAGGCGGAAGCTGGTTCAACGACAGCAGCATCGGAATCCGATGCAGTACCCAAGCGCTCGTCATCTAAATCGTCTCCACCGTCATCTTCAAAATGGAAAAAAGGGTCTGGCTCTAACTTGACGCCCTTCCACCTGCCGTCGTACGCCTCGCCCTTCATCTTCATTCCGGCGTACATCGAGCCTTCGTTCTCTACCTGCTCTGCTATATACGTCCGTCACCCTACTGCACGGCCAGGCTACTCAGAGATTCCTACGCCGTATGATGCTGACGGAGAGATTGTCCGCGCAGCCTGGGAGTGGTACACAAGGGTCCGCCCGCGGATGCGCAGCAAAAGCCAGCTGGCCAGGATGCCCGAGAATAGACAGTAACTTTTTGTCGGTACTCTGGATTGTTGTCGCCGTCTATGATATATTCGTGTATTCGCGTACTCTGCGATGTGCCTCAGGTCTGAGAGCTTGGGGTTCGTGCGCAAGCCATAGGCTGCAACGATTTGTATGCATACGCGGATTCTGTAAGGTAAGCTCAGTGGTTTACACCAGTCCATGCGTGCTGGCAATTAGCAAGCCGTAATGGCAACTATTATATACGTACCAATCACTCCCTACCTAGCCAGGTTATACTGAGTTCCTCCACTCGGCGCGGTCATCGTCGAGATTGGTCAAGGCGAGGCGCATATAGATAGCCTATCACGGCATGACAGAAGACGATCATGATTAAGCTCGAGCCTCGAGGTCATTCGAAGCCTCTTGCCTGATAAGTGGTCCCTGTACAAATCTCCAGCGTGGCATCTGAAAGACATACACCGTAAGAAGATATCAATATTAGGATTCATTCGCATATAATTACATAGCGCAAGTGCTAAGTCAACAGGCGCGAGGCAGCGACAATTAATCAATGTGCCGGCAGCGACCTGAGGATGCCGTCGACGGGACAGACTGAGATAGAAGGTGTCCAGAGAACGGGACAAGGCCCGCGTCGTTCGCACATCGTGCCAGGCCTTCTGAGTTATAGCAACACTTTGGGCGATCCAACGCAATTAATCTACCGTACCAAATATCTCCCCAAGTCTATATAGATCAGCGTGGTCGTCACCATCGTAGTTGGCATCGTCAGAGCGACCACTGGGAGTATGCATTCCATCCGAGGAGTCGACACTCGGACGTGCTCTAGTACCCGCTGACAGTGACATACAAACCAAAGACACGCGTGGACACGCCAATATCTGGCCTCGTGTCTGCAAGGTTACACAGCATGTGTCGTCAGTGTACATTGCGACGGTATACATGTGAGGTGCCGACTCGCCGCATAGGGGATGCGCGCTATGTGAAATTGTCGCTCACTCGACCGCACCCTCCTCGCCCGTCGCCACCCGTCCAGCACCGTGCATGATCAGCCGGCTTGCGCGTCGACGTGTTCAGAAAACCCGGACGCGCAAGCGCTGCACAATGCGGCTCCTTCCAGCGTGCCAGCCTCGCGGCACGCGGGGGACCATCACTTTGCGTCTGAATCGAGCGGCGCAAAGCTTTGAAGCACGACGATGGAGGGAACAACGCGCACCGCATAAGAGCGTATGCATACCCTTCCGAGTGCCATTGGAGAACTGGCTAAGGTTCGTTCGAAATCGCCGATCACCAAAACACGCGAAACGATATCTGTAAGGTGGCACTTGTCAACATATTATAACCCTGGTGTGAGTATATCTGAATAGAAAGGCATCGATATGCATACTGTGGTCTCCAATAAACCCCAACTCGACCCAAACCTGAGCTTATCTGCTTAGGTGACGCACCATGTCGGATTATCTGATGATCGTAGGTATTACCTTCTTTTGTGCATCTTGCTGATATACTAGTAGTAGCAGTCTCATGCTTAAAGCTTGAAGACCAGTGAAAAACGCGTCGTGACATATCCGCGGATATAGTTTTTGATCATTCGAAGCGTGTCTCATATGCGGCAATCCTTTAAAATGTTTGCATATCACTGCAAGTACACAATAGGCTACAGCGGTGAGCATTCCGCCGCTAGTAAACACGCTGACACGGTCACGTACCCTTTCTTATAACGCGAAAAGAAACGACCCGCCACGACGGACTTTTGACTGGGCTTCAAGCTCTCAGTGTTAGAACAAGAAACTGTGTCATTCAATGAGACAAAATGAGATAGACTAAATTGGCATGATTTACATATTCAGCTTTCTTCCATGATGCATTTTCAATGCAATTCATCAAGTGACCCAGTTTCTCAATTCAATTTATGTCATTTTCAACTGGGAGCTTGAAAAACTTGATTTTCATTGCAACTTGAATAACTCGGAATGGGCCATCGCCAAAATGCGAGAACGATTATCTATGCTGGTGGCAATTGACGATTATGGGCATGAGTAGATATGCTCAGATAATATACCTATTATCTAAGATCAGTCCATGTCCCAAGCATATCTGAGCGTATCTATCTATATCTGTACGTGACCTTACTTTGTAAAATACCTGTTTGAGTATACATATGTATATTCATTCTCGCACACTAGAACACACGTGACCGCGACGCGACGCGCGCCACGCGCCACTGCATCACGACTCCAAATTGTCAATCAACCCCAAAATCAAAATCAACATCATTCCACTTTTCTGCCAGCTGAGTTTTGCATCAGGGTGATGACTCATAACCCATGGCCATCGATTGTGTTACGTCCCTGCTCGCCGTCAAACACGTCGTTCATTCAGTATTCCGTATTCTGCACCGTACCATGTGGTCAGGGAGCACACCGCGCCCCCGACGAATCTCCATCCGCATCAAGTTCAAAATGATATATGAATCCGAACAGATTTGCCAGCAGATCGGCAGGAGAATCCAAGAAAGGAAGCCACACAGGGGGGTAGCAAGGCATACGCCATAACGGATGACTCGATGGGCGCAGCCGGGGCACGCACGCTCTTCGCTTCCAGCAAACCTGGCACTCGTGTTGTAGCCATCTTCGAATCAGCACATCACAAGTCATACATAGTCGAATATTCATGTCAGCGTGGCTAAGCAACCAAGGAATACAGTCGTCGAGATCGTTCGAGGTACATCTGGCATGGGTCGGGGTATCGGGTATCGACCATACATGGGTTCATTAGACTTCTCGCCGGAGCCACTGGCAGCATCTAGGCCAGAGAACTACGCGCTCTCCAAGGAGGCGGGCCAGGCGGGAAATTGCGAATTAAATCAGCAGTGAGGGGTGGGGGTGCTGGCCTACGTGGATAGAGTCGATTTTGAGATGTATCGCGTCGTCGGCATACCTCCGCCCGCCCGTCATCTTCTATAACACCGCACTCTTCAGAAGATCCCGGGGACCAGCTTCCACGGCACACGCTCTGCGTAGTCCTCCCACTCCTGCCCAAACGCGCGGTGTAGCGCGACGTCCTCCGCAGCAAGCCGCCGATGTGTGCTCCGCAGCGCGTACACGACCTTTGCGGACCAGAATCCGAGGACCAGCCACGCGAGGGCCATGCGCGGCAACATTCCCACCGTCAGCGCACTCCGGCACCCTGTAACTATTCCAGGCGGGATCGACGCCGCCAGCTGCCCCGATGGGTTGGACAGCGTCCCAGCCTGTGCGAGGAGCGCCGCGGCACATGACCCCACGCCCGCTCCGAGGCCGAGCGCACACTCACGGAGCCATGCACCGCGGGCGAGCCCGACCGCGGTCCCGCCGATAAGGGTAAGGTATATACCTGCGTAGCTTGGGTGCCGCACGCGGGCATACGGGCCTGTCGTCACGAGAGCGTGTGTGGGGGCGATCGCGAGCTCAAAGGTGAAGAATGGACCGAGCGCTCGGAAGCAGGCGACACGGAGGATGGAGCCAAGAAAGGTTGAGAGCGCGCCGAGAGCGAGAAGCGGGCTGGGTGTGAGCAGCGAGTGGGCGTGTGAGGGCGAGATGTAGGCGGGGAGGAGAATAGAGGAGATGAGCGATGCGAGTGGGAATGAGGGGAAGCAGAGGACGGTCGTAGCGAGCATATCAAGGACAATTTCAACCCAGACCATCATCTAGAGAATAGGAATCAGGGATGTCAGGGTGGAAGAGAGGGCGGACGGACCTTGGAGCAAAAGGTTACCCAACGAACACACCGCTCGAAGAGGGTACGCTGTGCGACGAGGTGCTTTGGGGGTGGTGGTGGATTTGGTGGTGAGAGGGAGACGTGGACAGATACGCCTGTGACGAGCAGAAGAGCAAGCTTGCAGAGCGCACCCGCAGCTGTGGGGTCGAGAACGGAGTGGAGTGGTGAGGGCATTGGTGGTGTCCACACTGTAGGCTTTCGGGGGTAAGGAAAGGCAAAGGGTAGCGGGGGAGGCAGACGAGGGAGGAGAGAGAGGAGGATGGGAGAAGGACGGAGAAGGATCAGGGGCGGGAGTTATATGTTATCCGCGGAAAGGGGAAAGAATCTCGGATGGAAGTCTGACCTTCTTTTGGATGACCGCCCCGCAGGACCCGGCCTGGGACAGACACGTCCAGATGCGAGCTGAGGATCTCCACGACAGCCGCAAAGTCAGCGTCGTTGACCGCCCCGTCGGTTTGTCCTCACCTGCAATGAACATCGTCCGTCCGGGTGCTTACCTATGTTGGCTGCACCATGGCATTGTTTCTGTCTGGGCAAAGCCCTGCGGGCGTGCAAGTGTCTCTGCGGACGCCTTCGCACGAGTCTGGAGTCTCACATATACTCACGAGAGTGAAGCGACTAAACCAGAAATCTGCCTTGTCAATCTGTCAATGTGAAGAAGAACCGCGCTTGGTAGGTAATAAGATTTGATGTTCAATGGCGACAGACGCAGAAACTCGCGCAGCTTAGCTCGGCGGACGCCATTGGGACGATGGAGGCCAGGAGCAAAAGTCAACCATCCTTCCGCGACACTCGCTCGCCCGGCCCACCCCGGCGTCGCTTGCCGCTTTTGGCAATCCGGCCGTTGTTTTGATGGCGCTGTCGGTGCCTCCGGCGGCGCACAGTGGCGGTCGCCCGGATTCCGGTAGCGAGCTGGCTGCAGAATCGGACACCATTAATGAACGATTCGCGCACACCAACTTGGAGCAGCACCGAAATGCTTCAGTACAGGTGCTCCAACAGCAGGTTATCCGGACTCGCATCACTCTGATGCTCGCTTGCGGTGCAACGACTTGGCGCGGCGGGGCTTTGTACTGAATACAGAGCCTGACGAGGGTGCACCACCCGAAGCAGACTTTCCGGTACCGTCTGAGGCTTTCCTGGAAGTACACCGCCGGGTAAGCACCGGCGACTTATCCATCTTTGCACTCGGAGTTTGTCCCCAAGTTCTGCCAAGCGGCCGACGCGCAGGCCGCTGCACATATGTATGGATCATGACACCCATTATCGGCGACATCTCGCAGTCATGCGTGAGTAGTACGTGTGCCTTTCTTCTTTTCGCCGCATCCGCTTACTGTAAATACGCCCTATCTCCCATCAGAATCCGGTCTCCAGTCTCCTACTGCCAGTCCAGTGACCCCAAAATTGCTGTAATATGTTGATCCCGTTTAGTCACGCATCGACCCCTCGGACTTGATCAAATTCAAACTGAACGCTGGTATCTTCGACTTCGACATGTCTGTAGTAAACATATCCTCTCTCCGATGAGCACGAGGCCAGGGGAGTGTTTATCACATTGCACAAAGACATGTCGGATGACACGAGTGAACCCATAACGGGCAGGTGTCACAGTGCCTACACGTATGTTCGTGAGAGTTTGTCACAGTTGCACAATCTGGTGAACCACTGCTTTAAGTACGTACCCAAATTTGTGTCATAATTCTGAGGCTTGAACTTTCAGTCAAAGTGGTACAACAGGCTCTAAATCGGTAAGAAACGATAAGTGACAGTCACACCATCCATAACCGACTCTCAGACCATTATCATACTCCATCGTCAGCAAAGTGCAAACAAGATTATAATACCATACAATCATCAGATAATCTAGCATGGTGCATTATCTAGGAAGATAAGCTCAGGTTTGAGTGAGTTGGGGTTCACCAGAGACCATAGTCTGCATATATGTGCCTTTCTACGAGGACAAACTCGCACTAGGATCATAATAGATTGACAAGTGCCACCTTTACAGATATTGTTTCACTCATTTTGGTGGTGGTGATGGGCATACTGAGTCTTCCTACACAAGATGTCAAGTCACGTTCGCGAAGACAACTCTCTTTACATTGTGATCTCCTGGATGACTTTGACAATGTGATATGGGGTGCGTGTAAAGCCAATCGTTCATTTTGGCTGAGCGTGCTGTGACGTGTGACTGATATCCGGCATATCGCAGTACTTCCCAACATCATTGTCCCAACTATGGCCGAAGTCAATTACTCCGGAGATTCAACCTTTGTCCATTTGCATTCATTCTCTTGTGATTCGTCCTCGCTTCCGTTCTAGCCCTCATCCCGAAATGGGCCCATGTACGCAGAGACATACGTGGACTAGTGCGGCCACACGGTTAGGTATCATAGCCAAGCATTTGCTTGATCTCCCTCTGTGGTCACCCGGTACGTGTATTCATCATTATCCACGCTTCACTATAGATACAACGCACCAGGCTGCTCCCTTCTGCGCTTGAAGAGGCACTATGACCCTGGCTGCGGTCATGGCATCCCACGCGCGGCCTTCTCGCCTTCCCTCTCTCCATCTCCAATTCTCCGACCTTCGCTTCCGCCGAGCATCACCGCACCCTGAGACCAGTTCCACACCCCGAACCCAGTCACACGCTCCCGAGCGTGTCCGCGCAACCGCACCCACCCCGAAGCGCAATGCCCACAACGCCCTGGCTGCCCGACCCGACCCGCGTCATCCCTTTTCCACGAGGTACGCCCGGCCATTATCCCGTGCGTACCCTCGATCTCTTCTCCCTATCCCCGGCGGCCTCCACTCCTCGCTCTCACATCAGCGCTGCGGCGCGTTGGCTCCTTCCACGCCCACGCGTCGCCGGTAATCACATAGCCACCTACTCACAGGACCCACCGGTCTCCCTCCTGCCGCGCCGGTCTAAACGCTATTACAGCCCCCGCCCGCACTTCCTCCGTGCCGTGCGCACCCTATCGCCCCCCGCCGCTTCTCGCGACATTTGGCCGCGGCCCGGTCATTATGCAGGCTACTCACTGTATTTCTGGCGGGGCGCAGCGCACAGTCTCCGCGGATCCCGGTGCCGCCCCCGCCATTTTGGTCTCGCTAATATAAGCTTTGACCGCATCGCGCCAAGCTGGCATGCCCTATTCGTCTAGCTCACGACGCGCGCGGTGTTCCCTCACGTCCTAGCCCGTGCCTTCGGGATGCGTCTAGGCTCGAAAAACTCCCTGCGCCGTGGACACCTGCATGCCTCGATCCGAGGTGCGCACGAGTACAGGCCGCCAAGGTCCCCGGGCGAAAGTCTGCGGTTGCAACGCCGTGCGGCATCCTGTCCGCAATTCCAAACCTATTGCGTGCTGGGAACGCATGACCGCGCTCCCGCCTGCGGTGGGCGCGGCAAAGAGTTGGATCTGGCGCGCCCGCCGAGCCCACTCGCCTCCAATGCTCCGCTATCCTCCTTGCGCGAGTCGTCGCAGCCACGCCAGCATGCCGCCCCTCGAAATTTTAACCACACGAAGTCTTCGCTTCCGCGCCGTAGTCTCCTGCTAGACGCCCGGTCGCGCGCACACCGCACCACGACCTCGCGAAGCCACTGCAATGGTCCACCCGTGCCCCAGACCCTGAAGCTTCCCGCGTTCTGCGGTATCCAGGCTCACATATTTCGCCGGTGTCTTCGTTTGTGCAAGCGCACGGCTCAGTTCGCAGGTGCCAAAATATGACAATGACGACGGTGGCCCACGTCCGTTCCTCGGGGTGGGGGGCGACACGGCTCGGCGCCCGCTCTGTCGCGGTTCGACGGCAGCCCGGTCTCGAGGTGGGGTTCGAGGTGGGATGTCCATCGAATGTCGGGTGCGCGAGGGGCTGCGTTCTGTTGTTCACACTGCTCAAACGCATCTGGATTCCATGAGACGCGATCCTACTGCGCCATTCTATCGGACGCGGTCACATTGTGCTCTCCGCCTATTCAGCCCGCCGGTACTTTGATACAAGCGCGAGGCGGATATCCAACGCTAGTCCAGCGCCGAGCGCACGGGCAGCACACGGCACACGGCTGGCGCGCTCGCCACATCATGTCGAATCTGCGTCGTCCACGGTCCACCTTCTTCCCCTGCACACGTTGTGTGCCCACGCCGCTTCTCTGCGCGATCCTCTGTGCACGCTGGCCGGCAGACGCTGCACAGTGGCGCGCACTACCGGCGCCGGTACGCATTTGGGTCCCCACTTCCGTGCATCGTAGTCACTTGAAGGGTGGGTCCACCCGAAGAGCTTCGCAGCGATGGGGCAAGCCTGCCAGTTGGCGTCACCACAGGATTCTCGTTCCAATGACCCATACCGCTGCGGCGACGGCTGCCACCCCAGCGTTGCCAGTGCCTTCATCGGTCTGCCTACGGTGATGAGTGGTTGGGCGTGCGGCAACGGTAGGTGTCGAATATGACGGGCGTGTGTGTGTGTGCTTGTTCGACAGGCGTGCGGACATGTTTGCAAGCACTGTATCTCTACATGGCGACAGCGTGCAGGACCTACATGATTGATGGATTGCTTACCTGTGAGGTGCACACATCCAACCGGTCGCGACTTGACACGGGGCGCATCACGGTGCTGCACCTCAGCACCGTCAGTGTTCGCCCTTTCGTAGCGGACTGGTCGTAGCCGGGACCCCGTCGGCGGACGCATAGCGGCACGGTGCCCTCAGCCTGGACGCGCGGCGAAGATGGACGGCTCGGGGCTGTGCCAGCGGACCGCGCAGCCCAGTGCGCCAGCCTTTCAGCGACTGGCACCTCGACGTGACGTCCGGCTGTCGTGCGCATGCGAACAGTACTCGCTGCAGAATCCGCCTCGTTGTCCTCGATACCGCCCAATGTGCGCCGCAGGCTGCTGACCTGTCGCGCGCCGGCGTTCTCGAGATTTTGCCGCTTGAACATTGACATATCGACGGCCCCATTTGCTTCGTATTGAAGATGATCGAGCGGGGGGGGG